TGGGCGGGGGAGGGGCTGAGGGGCTCTGAGGCGGGGAGGAGGAGGGGCGGGAGCTGGGTGGGCGGGGCCGTGGCGGGAGCTCGGGGGGCGGGGCGGAGAGGCGCTGCGGCTGGAGAGGGCGGGGCGCTGAGGGGCGGAGCGGAGGAGCCGGCTCCGGGCGCTATTCCCCCCCTCGGGGCGGCGCTGCCGGGCGCGGGCCGGTCGGAGCCTGCGCACTGCGCCTCCCGCTCTTCTGAGGCTCTGCCGGCAGCGGTTCCTTCACTCGGCTGAAGATGGCGGAGGGTGGCGGCTCGTCGCTGAAGGGGCTGCGGGAGCAGATGGGTGAGAGCTGGCAGGGCACCTCGCGGCCCGGGGCTCTGGCTGTAGCCGGGGAAGGGTGAGAGGGGAGCGGGGCCCCCGGCTGGAGAGGCAGCCCCCTCTGATGCTGTGGGGCCGGCCTGAGAGCAGGCCAGGGACGCGGCCCTTAGGCGGGCTCCTCTCGGCCCAGCCCCCCGGGAGCAGAGAGCCGGGGCCGCGATCCCAGCCCCCCGCTGGGCCCTGGGGTGAATGGGGGGCAGTGGGCCTCGGGGAGATCGTGTCTGCCCCCCCTTCCGCTCATTGGCCTGAGCCCCACACCCTGCGCCCTGTCCCAGCCTAACTCCCCTTCTCCCACCCCCCACACCATGACCCTCTTGTGGGTTCCCCACTCCCCCCTATTTGTCTGTGCTGCCCCCCACCCTGCCTCTGATCTCCCCCTGCCCGCCTCCTTTCTCTGTGCTGCTTGTCTGGCTCTCTTCCGCAGGGCTGGCTTTGCAATGGGAAAGGGATTCTGGAAAAGAAATCTGGGGCTTCTGCTGAGTCTCTCACAACTTTAAATGCCCAGGCCTTCCTACGTCTGGGTTTTAACTTCAAAATCTTTCTTGAGTGGAATATGAAACACAAATCTCTTCCCCTCCTCTCCTCCCTCCAATGCATAGATGTTGTATTAATATGCAAGGTCTGACTTACATTAAAAAAAACCCCTTAGTCTGCCTTACACTCACCCTGATTTGCCTATAAAACTGCAGCACGTAATTTTCCTACAAGACTTTAGCTGCTGATTTGAGATGTCTGCAATACATAGACAGGAATGAGTGCCACTTGAGGACTTCATCTTAAAATGAATTGTCTGCCTTTTGTGATCCTTTGAAAGTCCAAACCATTATGTTTCTTTAATGAGTCTTGTCTCAATTTTCTAGATTTTTTGCAGACAGCTCCTCACGGCTGTCATGCCCAGTGTTTGCTGCAATATCTTGCAAAGGATGACGTGACAGTCTGAATTCTGAAATGTTGCTTCCTAATCAAACTCTTAATAATGCTTTAACACTTTTTTGGAATTAAGATACCAGTAAAGGCTAAAAATATTTAAATTTAGTTTGTTAAAAACTGCTTTGGTTTGTTCTTTCCTGTTTGAGACTTGGATTAACAAGGACCTCAATATACATAACCATTTTGTGTTCTGTGTAGAGTGAGTGTTATGCTTGTCAAGGTGCATACGTGCACACAATAGATTTGTGGGTGAGTCAGTACAAATGAAAGCAACAAAGAGTCCTGTGGCACCTTATAGACTAACAGATGTATTGGCGCATAAGCTTTCGTGGGTGAATACCCACTTCGTCAGACGAGTGGTATTCACCCATGAAAGCTTATGCTCCAATACATCTGTTAGTCTATAAGGTGCCACAGGACTCTTAGTCTGGATCTGTAAAAAGCAACAAACACGGCTACCCCTCTGATACAGTACAGATGAAAACATTTTGATTATTCCAGACTAAGCATAACGAAGAGACTAAAGGAAAGAAAGAGTTATGATCTCTGGTTTGGTGTAAAAATTAACTAACCTAGACTGTGTGCAAACTGACCGGTACTTTGTCAGTGTTTAAAGTTATCAGTCTGTTTCTGTGACTGTGATTTCTTTATGTACCAGTGCAATTACTGATGTAAGAGTTCTGGTGACTCTTACAAATGGTCTTAAGGTCTTGAGTCTTCAGCTCAGATCTGGAAGTCTTTCTTCCTCCTTTGATGCAGAAGTCAGATATGGACTCTGTGTGTGTGTTGATTCCCCTTTCCAGTTTTTTAAGATGAATTAAGTGCTCGTGAAAGATAATTATTTGACAGAAGACATCAGACTCAAGACCTATCCACAGACTAGAGAGAGCACAGATAATAGCAACACAGTTTCACCAGCATAACTCAGTCCTGACCTGAAGGGACCTTAACTAAGAGTGAAAGGGTCACTTATTTTTATAAGCCCACTTTGTTTTTGTTCTCTCTGCTGAAATTACTGATTTTTATGGCGCTTTGTGAGATGGACACTCATCTGATGGAAACTAGACTGGAGACCATCAAATCCTTCCAGAGACCACCAAGCAGATGGCATCCACTCTTGTTAACAGCTGTCTTGGACTAGATGCAGGTAACCAGAAGGGAAGGGCCATCCAGCCCCATCTCCCTTTCTAAAGTGAAGATCTTCTTTAAAAAAACAAAATAAAAAGTGACACTAAAAATGACAGGGCTTGAAAAATCCTCTTCCTTACTTTCCCAATAGGAGGTGAAAATTGATGGAGCAGAATCTGAATTTTAACTAAAACATATTTTAGTACTTTGGCTACAAAGATAACTAACATGAATTAATATAGTGCTGTGTTTTTTGAGTCTGCAAACAGACAATTCCAATATGGCTTTTTCCAAGTGACCAGAGAGTGATATTGCAGAGGGTCAGTTCCAGAGCCTATATCCAGGACCCTCTGGGAAGCAGTGAAATTGACAAGAATCATAGCACTTTATTTCTGCTGTTTGGCAAAGTTGTGAGTTGCAACCAAGTCAGACACAGAAGCTATTTGCAGATGAGGACTGAAAAAAAGGAGGTTAGGAGGCTGTAGGAGCAATAGAGTAATGAAGACCCATTCCAGCATTTGTACAACAACAAAAAGGACCTCAAGAGGCTCGTTGATTGTGTGTGTGTGTGTGTGGGAGTGCAGGAATGTAACTTTCTGCCTTCCAACAGACAGCGGGTTGAGGGAAGCTACAGATTTATCAAATACCTGGTAGCCAGATACTAATATGCAGTATGGACAGCATCCTGCCAAGAAACCAAAGAGCCTCCTCTTTCCTAGTTGCTGAGATGGAGTCTAGGTTTCTTTGCAGAACATTTACTCTGGACCTTACTGGCTTCCTCTTCCATGCCTCCAGTCTTTCATAGCAACCTCTGGATGTAGGTTTAGTCTTCTGGCTGGTAGAAGTCTGGTCACTGTTTCAAGCTCTGAAAATTGGCATCGGAGGGTTCTGCTCTTCTTATTTCTCAATAGCTTCCTTATCACATTTGCTAAGTTTAAAGTAAAGAGATGGGTTTTCTCATTCTCAACCATGCCTATTCAATCTGAGGGGAAGTGTGCTTTTTCTTCATGCATCGCCTGTAATAAAGAGGTCATGCAGGCCAAATCATGCCCTCAATGACAGGTCTGCAATTCCATTGTGTTCAAGTTCTTTCATCTGTCCAGCCTATTGCCTTCAGCCAGACAGCATGAGAGCAGAATTTTGTCCTGCAAATAGAATTTGGTTAACACTTCTGTGAATGATGCCTGCCCAGGAAATGTATTAAACCTAGATCTAAAATATGATTTTATACTCATAAACAACTACATATAAATGGCACCACCTAACTCCATTGATCTGATCTCTGGATATTTTCAAAGTTATAGTCTCTTATTATGGGGACAAAAGGGTTTTACTGATATTTTAATTCTGTAAACACTGTTGAGCACACACAGATTTGAGAGAGGGTGTTAGTCTGTTAGAAGGCATTTACTTCTTGAGTAATATAGTAATCAGTTTAATATTTGAAATTATTTTAAGTTATAATAGGCTGCTTTTACTTTTTTAGTCTATTAGAGTCATGAAATGCTTTTTCTTGACTGTTGTAATCTTGTTAGCAACTGGCTGTTACATTGCAAGAACTTGGCGCCATTCACTTCTGCTTCATTGGGAGATGTCCCTCCGTGATGTATATCGGATCATTGTGTGCATGGGTATTAAATTGGTTTTGTGTTTTTTTTTTTTTTTAAAGTGCCAAATCCTACTTTTTTCAGAGATCTGTATGCTCAAGTGGGAAATCCTTGCAAATTTGAGTTAGGTCAGCAGCATGGTGCCTTCTTCCTCTGAATACATTTTGACAGATCTGCTGTGGGCATAGTTTCCATCTCTTGGCTAGTCAAGACCTATATGGTCAGAGCTTATATCCACTAAAAAAATTAGTAAATTCATTCAATATCTGACCCATAAATTTGCTCCATGTGGATCTCTAATAAAATGTGAGGCTCTAATCAGAAAAGTGACTGAATAAAAATAGCATATTATTTAAAATATGCTCCATTTGTGTATTATCTCTTTTAGTGACACAAAAATAAAGTTTATTTCCCCCCCTCCAATTACCACTGCAGAATCAGCACAGTTGGAGAATGAACTGGCTTCTGTTGCTTCTCACCTATCAACAGAATTGCTAACCAGGGTCCTGATCCTGCAGGTTGTTCTATGTCAGGGATCGGCAACCTTTCGCACACAGCTCGCCAGGGTAAGCTGACTGAGTGATGTGCTGGCCACCGCTTCCTGCCGCCCCCGTTGGCCTGGGACGGCGAACTGCGGCCAGTGGGAGCCGGCCAAACCTGCGGATGCGGCAGGTAAACAAACCGGCCCAGCCCGCCAGGGTGCTTACCCTGGAGAGCCGCGTGCCAGAGGTTGCTGACCCCGTTATACGTGAATGGATCCTCCATAGAAGTCAGTGGAATTCTATGTGGGCGCAGGAAGGGATACACCAGCATGGAACAATTTACAGACTTGGGGCCTGTGTTCAATTTGCAAGGTCAAATTATCTGTCCAGCCCCACTGAAGGAAATCAGTTATACCTTTGCAGCTCCACTTAACCAGCACATTTTTGGTACTATTGTAGGTGTGTGAGAAAGAAAGACACCCCATCTTAACTTTGATCTTAGGTTTAGTTTGCAGTGTGGCTAGTTTAAAAAAAATGCTTTGAACAAATTTCCTCAGGAATCACTGACAAATATTTAACTTCACAATGTCACTTTTACATAATCCTTTTTAATAGTAGAACTGTACTTCAGAAGCACAGAATAATGGTTTTGTTGTGTCTGCCATGTGCCTGGTTTTGTCTGTCTACCTCAGAACAAACTTTCTAGTAACTTTTTCAGTAGTTATAGTGCAGATAATTGTCTGAAGGATGTATAACTAGTCTTAAAACCGCAGTGCTCAGATAGCTTTGTGTGTTCTGGACTACCTATCAAATTCAC